TGGTGGGACTTCGTTGTCTTCAAGGACTATGGGTAGCAATGTTTTTTCAATCGACTCTGAGTCGTTGTCTACTCAAGGTCCTTGGCAGTCTTCTAGTGCAAAGCTTGCTGTTCATCGTCCTAGGTGGCTTGCGATCCCCAGCAAGTACAAGATGAGCCCTTATATTTTGCCTCGGGGCAAAGATTAAAGTGTCTAGACTTGAAGCTGATATGTATGAAGCTGTACTAAAGATGGCAGAAAGTAGTGGACAGTTGGAGTAAGTTATAAATTTCTATAAACTCCTCTCCTTAGCGTTCTGCACCACTTGTGAGAACACTTGTATCAAGTAATTATGAATTGTTTTCCTTTTTGTTTTAGTCTTTCAGTAATCAATTATGGAAGTGTGGTTGTGAAGTTAAGTGCACTTGCATCTTCTCTTAAGCCGGGAAGAAAGGTGCACTATTTTGTAGTGAATGTTTTGTGCAGATTGTTATTCCATAGGAATCACCCCAAGACTTCTTACAAGCATTTTTTCTTCTCTAAAGTTGGTGTGAGTATTCCTTGATGTTTTCTATAAATTATACGTTGTAACTATATAAAATAATATTGATGAATGTGTTTTTTTGTAGGATTATCTTATTGGAAATCACGGTCGTGATGATGAGAATGAGAAGGAGTTATATGAGACCGCTATGAGATGCTTTATGGGTGCTGGTCGTGCAAGGTCGTTATCACACAGCCACTATGTAAGTAACATATCCTTTTTTTTAAAAAATTTTGCATATATATTGTGTGCATTGCAGTTGTACTAATAATCCGTTCTTTTCTAATTGTGTGTTGTTTTGTCAGCTTTTTTTTCAATTCTCTACTGTGATCGGTGGTACGTGGTTGTTGTGTATTTTAGTTGGAGATGGTGTATAATCTTGGATTCATGCGCACTACGCTTTGGAGCAGACTCAGCTTTCCATAAAGCTGTCAAAGATGAATTTGTAAGTATCAGCAACACAGGGATCAATACTATTGTTTGTATGCAATGTGAAAATTTTGTTCAAATAATGAAAAATATATATCGGTACTGTGATTTATTTCCTTTACCTGCTTTTTAGCTAGAAAACTTAACCACGGTTTGGTCAGAAGTTGTTCAGATTGACTTGGTGAAGTGAAGTCCTTTTTTGATTTATATAGACCATATCATTTTTGTTGTGCTTATAGTATTTTGTCCTATCTTTTTCTTTTGTCATGTTTTTAGCATAACCAATGATAGTGGTATCTACGCTATGAAGAACCTAGAGCTTTTTGAAGTAAATCTCAATATGATAGAGAAGTATACCGAAGATGATATTGGGCACCTTCGCATCAAGTTTGTCAATAACATGGTTTTCAACGAATTCAATTGTGCACATGATGGTCAATCTAAAGTCAGGGAGGTAATACTAGTTCCAATGTTATTTTCTCTGTTGTTCCATCATTCATTGAATTTGATAGTTGTTTTTTCCCTCAGGTCTATGGCAAGTTGCAGGAGGCAACATGATTAGAAGAAGAAACAAATTGTCTCTTGTGTTTTGTGATTGTGCTTGAATAGAATTAAAATTGTGATGTGTCCTTCCATAGCGAAAAATTATGTATTGTGGTATGTGATTGTGCTTGATTACAATAAAAATTGTGTTATGTGTTTCCATAGAAAAAAATCTCTTGTGTTCTGTGATTATGCATCCATATAAAAAAATATGATATGTCCTTCCATAGAAAAAAATTGTGTCTTGTATTTTGTTTTTGTGCCTCCGTAGAAAAGAAATTGTGATCTCTTCTCAAACATGTTCAAATCTTTTTATTTGTGTTTTTTTGGATGCTTGATGTTAACTGTGCTCAAGGAAAAGCTCGATGGTTGTGGAGGTCATTCTTGTTCTTCTAAAGATGAGGATATGATCCGATCAATGATGTTATGTGCATTACCTTTTTTTCTTAATTTTGAGCATGATATACTTTGGTGATTGTCATGTATGTTGTTTCATGGAGTGTCTGATTGACTTCTACAGCAGGTCTTGGAAAAGAAAGGCTGACCAAGTGGCCAAGTGTGGTGCTCTACATTCTCCAAGTGGCAGCGGATCCGCTGACGCATCCGTCTCTAGGTAGGCGTCTCCTCGTCTTTGATCTTTGTTCTGTGATTGTGTTTGCATAGCGAAAAATTGTGATTTGTCCTTCCATAGAATTAAAATTGTCTCTTGTGTTTTATGATTGTGCTTTAATAGAATAAAAGTTGTTATATGTCCTTCTATAGAAAAAAAATTGTCTATTGTGTTTTGTGATTGTGCTTGAAAAGAATAAAAATTATGATATGTCCTTCTATAGACAAAAATTATCTGTTTTGTTTTGTAATTGTGCTTGAATGGACCATGTTCGTTGTCCATTTGTTTGTTCTTAAGTCTTAAGTCACCACAGTCACCTCTTCTTTATACCAGGGCAAATTGTGTCTTATGATCTGTCGTTCCATAAAAAAATTGTCTCTTGTGATTTGTGCTAACTCACCTTTTCAGTGGTAACCACAAGATATTGTTGTTATTTGTCCTTTTCAGTTATATAAGCTTCATTCAGTCTTTGTAGTGATATGGCTAGGAAACTTGAGAAACAAATTGTATGAAATATTTTGGCATTTGTTGATTTTTATTCAGAAGTATGTGAAGAAACATCATAAACCTTTGCGTAGAAGACTAATCAAAGGTAGCACAGAGCGATTTTTGTTTGCCACCTGATTATATGTTCCCACCCCTTGACCCCTTTGTTTCTCACTATGTCAAATCTATACCTGGTTAGTCTGGTACATTAATTGTAAGGTTTCTTGCCACTTCTTGATCCCATCTGGTGTTGTCAGATCAAAGTTTGGTTCTGAGTTCCCATCCATAGTGTCAATTATTACCTAAAAATATAGCAGATGCATAAGACATATGTGTAGTATGCCTGCAAAAGTCCTTATAGAGATTTGCCAAGGAAATTTTGATTTCTGTGTGTGTGTGATTGAGCTATCTAAATGATGCTCTTATCTCACGAAATCTATGCTTTGCTACTTGTTTCTAGAAATTCTTCCTCCACCAATTATTTAGTAGAGATACCTAGAGGAGATTGTGCTAAAAGGAAATCTAATCAGCATTCTACTCTTTGTCTCTTGATTTGCAAACTAATGAGGTAAAATTCCTTGTACAGATTGTTTGAGACCATCAAATCTTGATGAGGACATATTGCAGGTATCTAACACATGCAATCCTTAGATGTGGGGTGTACTAACCTTGGAGGATGTTGAGGTGAGTCCTGCCTCCTTGGATCTGGTGATTTTCCCCTTTTTCTCCTGCTCTGTGTGAGAAGAACAGAGCTCTTTCCTCACGAACAGATCCGTCGATCTGTTGTGTGTGGGTTTCCTTCTTTCCCAAGTAGGTGCTTTATTTTATAGGAATTTTGTTGCGGGCTGATGGGCCTGAGACTTCATAACATGGGCTTTTTTGTCGTCATGTTTCTGGGCTCACTTGCACAATTACAACTACAACAGATCTCCTCTCTGTGGGCCTTGTTTGTTCTCCTCACACAGATTACAACTCCAACAGAAGACAATTACAACATATTTCAGATACAACAGAATCCGTGTGCTACTTCCTCCTAAAACACACGGTTTTTCTCCTTGGATAGATTTCGTGTGCTACTTTAGGAAAAAACACATGGTTTTTTCTTTCTTTGCTGGGACTCTTGTGTTGCCTAGGCTACCTAAAATCGTGTGTTAGGTTCAAAAAAAAAACACACGGCTTTTTGGGTTTCTGGAATTCGTCCCGTGTACTGGTTTCCTTCAAAACACACGAGTTTTAATTAGACAGGTTCTAAATAAACGATTTGAATATTTGGATACGAATACGGTATCGGATGTTTAATATCAAGACTTAGATACGGACAGATAAGACCTCTAAACAGATTTAGATTCGATCTCGAATACGGTAGATAGAAAAATATCCATACCGTTTTCTATCCCTGATCACGATGCCAGGACGCCGCGGAATGGGTAAATGCCCCTCGTGACTGGCAGTCTGGGCCGCGCGACTCCTAGGGTATAGGGTTCAGCACTCCAGCTTCAGACTGCAAGTGCAAACTTGGGCCACGGCCCACGAGCTCGCAGCGACTCACCGCGGCTTTGCATACCATTTGCCTTTCTTTGCTATCGGCGTCGTCGTCGTCTCTGTTTCTAACCATGTTTTCGTCGGCAATGCAATGCAGGGAAGCTGTTGGAAGGCGCTTGCCACTTGATGGGCGTCTTCGTCCGGCGGTCGCGACTGGCCAGCTGCCAGTGATCCGTGGATCAGTAATCTGCACGCCATCTCGTTCTGCTTCGACTGCTGTGACCTGTGAGATGAACCAAAGCCATCTCTCAGCCATGGGAGGGATGGAACGGACGGGTGAAATTTTGATCTGTCAATCAATTAGGAGATGGGTGGTGAGGAAGAGGACGGGAGAGCTGGACACAGGTAGATCTTTTTGATAGAGGAATTCGAAAATGTAAATTCGCAAATGGATTACTGTTTCCTTCTCTGTTTCTCGACACTATGTTCTCTGCCATTTTTTTAACCTTTATAAGCCTTTATAAAAACATGACCCAGCTCAACACAACTGCATCCGTCCACAAACCGTTTGTAAACATGATCCAAAAGGCCAACTTTTCAGACTCATAAACAAAACCGTCATTCTGCTGCAAGTTCCACCTGGCTCCTACAGAATAACTGAAAGAAAATGTCTACACTGCAAATGATGATAGTCGCAATCACATATCCACACATGCCATGGCAGCCCTTTACATAGGGAGCAAGAGAACACCAGATCAGAGAACAGCCAGAAAAAAAATATGTGACTGAGGTCCCACAAATCATATGCAGAGCCGACCAATTCTTATCACCAAAGCCTAGAGGCGGTCCAGTTCTCTTCTCATGTACATATGCAAATGCATCGCGGCCAAACAAAGGAATCGAACTGCGAAGACCATGCGCAGCAGTTCATGCTCTCCTGGTCCTGGAGCTCAATAGCTTTGCTTCGTGTTGCCGCCGGTTGAGTAGAGCCTGCTGGTAAAGGTTCAGGTCGAGGCCATCGACGTTCCTTCCAATGCGCGCTAGTAGAATCGCCTGCAAACCAACAACAATTGGTGTAGCATTGTTATTTCTGCTAGTATCGAACAGGCTGGAAAAAAAATACTTGAGGAAGGAGGATCATGTACATCATTATCTTCACGGATCTGAAGTTCGCCAATGAACTGGTATGCCGAATTCGTGCGGAAACTGATGTCCCTCAGATGTTGGGTGTCAACCTTCAAACTCACGCTGCCGTCCTGAATGACGGCAGTTGCAGAGTCCACATCGAATGACTGAAGACTGAAGAAAAACAAGAGGTTAAACGTGGCTGATTTAGGAAGAGGTAGAAAATGTAGATACGAATGTAGATACGTCAGCTTCAGATGTTCAGGGCAGAGGAAATAGGCAGAGCACAAATAGCCGAGGAGGCAAAAGTTGTACTTAGAGAAACAAAAGGAGAAAACAGTTCCTCAAGGTGAGCAGGAAACCCAAGAGCTGGCCATGGAGGTCATATCCAATAGTGCAAGGAAAATGGAAGCACTTACAGGGGATAGCAAATATCAGAGGAAAGTTAAGTAAAGGAGCATGTTACACAGGAAAAACTAGACATTGTGGCTTTACAGGAAATAATGAAGCAAGATTTCACGGATAATGAATTAAGAGACCTAGGGAGACAGGATAATTTTCTTGGTACTGGACACCCGAAGAGGACATTCTGGAGGCTTGATTGTGGATAAGTTGGAAGTAGAACACAATGAGAGGTTCACCTTTTGCATTCTCACCATAATAAGGAATATGATTACCGACCATAGATGGAACCTAATCTCAGTTTATGCGCCAGCACGGCATGATTCCTTTGAAGAATTTATTCAAGAATCAAGAGTTGAATGAGATTTGTGAGAAAGACTCTTTGCCGGTGGTTTTAGGAGGATACTTTAACCTGATTAGGAACAATCAGGAAAGGAGCCATGGTCAAGGTGGCTAGGGTAACCATCATTTAAGGGAAATTAGTATGGCGGGTAGGAATTACACTTGGTCTAACAAACATGACTTTGGGCTTGGCTTGGAACAAAACTAGATACGGATCTGATCACTCACCCATTTTTCTGGACTCTGGGGAGCAAGGAGCTCGAAGACAGATATTTCTATTTTGAAAACCAGTGGTTACTGCAACCAGATTTCAGGGAGATGGTTCAACAGAAATGGAAAAATGTAAGGGGAGAGTCCAGATCACTGCTATTCGCTGGATAAGTGGCATGGATACCTCCAGTATCTCAGGAAACCTTTGAAAGGATGGAGCTGGCAAAAAATAGGAGAGCAAAAGAGAGACAAAAGGAAAATTTTGCAACAGCTGGAGGAATTTGACAGGGCGGCAGACAGCATGGGGATTTCAGGGTTGGAACGGGAACAAAGACATAATTTGGAAAATCAGCTGGAAAGCATCTACCAGAGGGAAGAAATATATTGGAGACAAAGGACTGAAAAAAATGGATTATCAAGGGGGTTCACAAACACAGTTTTTTCATCAGTTTGCTAATGGGAGGAGACGAAAATCTACTATTTTGTGGTTAGAGTCAGAACAACAACAACAACAACAACAACAACAACAACAACAACAAAGCCTTTAAGTCCCAAACAAATTGGGGTAGGCTAGAGTTGAAACCCAGCAGAAGCAATCAAGGTTCAAGCACGTAAATAGCTGTCTTCCAAGCACTCCTATCTAAGGCTGTCTTTGGGTATATTCCATCCTTTCAAGTCTCATTTTATTGCCTCTACCCAAGTCAACTTTGGTCTTCTTCTGCCTCTCTTCACGTTACTATCCTGGCTTAGGATTCCACTACGCACCGGTGCCTCTGGAGGTCTCTATTGGACATGTCCAAACCATCTCAACCGGTGTTAGACAAACTTTTTTTCAATTGGTGCTACCCCTAATCTATCACGTATATCATGGTTGCGAACTCGATCCCTTCTTGTATGACCGCAAATCCAACGCAACATACGCATTTCCGCGACACTTATCTGTTGAACATGTCGTCTTTTCGTAGGCCAACATTCTGCACCATACAACATAGCAGGTCTAATCGTCGTCCTATAAAACTTGCCTTTTAGCTTCTGTGGTACCCTTTTGTCACATAGGACACTAAATGCTTGCCGCCACTTCATCCACCCTGCTTTGATTCTATGGCTAACATCTTCATCAATATCCCCGTCTCTCTGTAGCATTGATCCTAAATATCGAAAGGTATCCTTCCTAGACACTACTTGACCTTCCAAACTAATATCTTCCTCCTCCCGAGTAGTAGTGCCGAAGTCACATATCATATACTCAGTTTTAGTTCTACTTCGTCTAAAACCTTTGGACTCCAAAATGGTTAGAGTCAGAAGGAAAGGAAATTAAAGGCCAACAGGGCATTATGGATCATGTGGTGGAATTTTACAAGTTGTTTGGCCCAAATCTGGAATGTAGCCTTACTCTGTCTAGCTCTTTTTGGCCAGCAGAGATGCAAGTGTCTGAAAGAGACAGGGAGGATCTGAGCAGACGTTTTTCTCTAGAGGATTCAGGGAGCAGTATTGGAAATGAAAGGGGATTCGGCACCTGGACCAAATGAGTATGGAGTCACTTTCTTTCAGAATTTTTGGGACTTAATTAAAGACGATTACTATGGGATGTTTCAAGATGTTTATATAGGTAACTTACATTAACAGACTCACTTATGGGGCCGACAGGAAATTTAGATATCACATGGCAAAATGGGAAATGATAAACAGGCCAAAAGACCAAGAGGATCTGGGTGCTTTAAACACTAAAATCATGAACTGTCTTTTGACCAAGTGGGTCTGGAAATTAGTTCAGGGGAGCACTGAAACCTGGTATAAAATCTTAGCGGCAAAATACATGCCCGATGGGAAAATTTTTCAACTCTAAAACAAGAGGGTCCTCACAGTTTTGGCAGGGTTTACACAAAATAAAAAATATGTTTAAAATGGGGGACGATACATAAGGTAAAAAATGGTAAGAAAACTGTGTTCTGAGAGGATGTGTGGCTGTACAGGGTTCCACTAAATATTCAAAGCTGTACAACATCTGTGATAATAGTTGCAACACTGTGGCTGATACCTGTAACGAGGGCGAATGGTGTATAAGCTTGAGAAGATCGCTACATGGGCGGTCACTCCAGGAATGGGAGCAGCTACAGGTTCTTAAAAAAAGAGGGTGGAAAGGAAATGGTAATCGTACTCTATATGATAAATCAGAAACCATGGAACATATTTTCTTTCATTGCCCAGTTGCTCATCTTGCATGGTGCATTATCAGAGATGCTTTTGGACAGGTGGGGTTCCCATCTTCTTTGGCTGATTTTGCTGAGAACTGGTGGGAACAAAACTTGGTGCTCTAAACAGCTGGGTATGTTTATGTTTGCAGGGCTAACTTGGGTGATCTGGTCATCTGAACCTCTAAGAAATAAGATGGGAATAGAGAAGCAGTTCCCAAACAGACCTACTGATGTCATATACATTGCTATCTCCTTTGTGCAGAAGTGGTGTGTCCTGCTAAAGGAGAAGGAAGCTAAAGTGCAAGACATGGAGAAGAGAATTACTGCATAGCTAAAGAACTACCGAGTGACACCATGCTGTCTGATGTAATAGAAATCTAGGTTGTTGTTGCTGTTGTTAGAGGCAGTTAGACTTGTTTGTGAGCTGGTATCCCCAGTTTTGTCTGTACCCTTGAATATTTGCTTTCTTAAAAGCAGAGTAAAACTCTTTTAAAAAAACATGGCTGTAACATAGGTTGTTCACAGGTAGAGGTAAAAGGAGTAAAGGACGCTTCACATACCTTCCTGTGACTCGAAGGGACGCTCCTTGCTTGAACATCTCTGAGGATGGCTCCAGCTCCCGCAGAATAACAGGCACCCCTGGTTTTAGGCCAGCAGACACCATCTTGAACTGAGAACTGAAAAAAGACAAAAACTGATGCTGTGCTTCCTTCTAGTTCCTGATGCCCTGCACAGTGAGCACCACATGCCAAGAATTAGTTCCTCTATAAGACTTTGTATTTTCCACCTGTTCACATGCACAAAACTGAACTATGAAGATCAATTATTCATGTTCTAATGTTCTCCCAATCAATGTTTTCCAAACACGATGCCACAGCATTATGGAGCTGACATGTGGACTTTGAATGTAATGGAACAAGTCGTTCCAATCAGTTAGGCCGGCCTGGAACTCCTGAAGTCCCTAGAACTACGCTAATTAGCACATCATTTTCTTCTTCAAAGAGTAAACCTTTTAGCTAAAATAGAATGCAATGCATTTGTTCTGTAGTCTTGTAACACTGACAGCTCATTACAATAGTGTTATTTAGATAAAGGAGGTTAACAGAACATCTCAAGCCTATACTTCTACAAATGCCTGTTCTATAGATCTTCACACCAACATGGAGTGCTGTTCGAAAATTATATGAACAAAACTCATCAGACCATGAAACACAACAACACTACAAACATGAAACAGAAAACAAAAGCTGAAAAATAGGAAACCCAGTAATCATAACAACTGAACTGCAATGAAATCAGGCAGAACAAATAGGCAAGCTTCTAGCCGTCAATATGGTTTGTAAAGCAGACAATGAAATGCGATGGCTATTAAGTAGTACATACGACTAGTTACAAAACCATGCAAGCAAATAAAGTTTAGATTGACTGGGATTTGATGGCAATTTCCAAACAAAGATCATGAAAAGGAGAAGGTAGTATAGCAAATGGAACAAAGATCTCAAGGACAACAAAAAATCCAGTATTTCCATATAGAATCTGCTAAAGAAATCATGTGAAAATGAACCAAATGGAGGCATAAAGCATCTATCGTTACAGAAAAAAACAGAATTGCATACTTATCTTGGTAGCACACTTGCTTGAACCCCTTTTCCTCCTAAACATGGATGCTGAAAAGTCATATTCCATTTCATTGGAATGTGACAGATGTACTAGAGAGAGGAGAGGAACAAAACCTCTAGATCACACAACAACAACAAGAAAATCCCTTTTAAGTCCCAACAATAACAGAACCTCTAGGTTACACCCATAAACAAAATAAGAACTTTGAGCATCACAGTACAACAGATCGACCTTTTGCAATGAAACTCTACCTAATGCTTAAGTTAATGTACATTTTGGTTTCTAATAGCAAACAGGTGAATCCTGTCTCCCACAAGATGACTGGCTACAAGCAAGATGGGACCTAACGAAAACCACAACCTTTTCAGCTATCACCTGCGCATCAACCGCCGGATCAGTTGTATCCACCACAATCCTCGGCACATCCCCAATTTCATAGTCTGTGCAACCTTGGTACCCTTCCAGAAGCCTCTCCAGCTCAGCCCACGTCTTCGGCTTATGCCATCCATCACTGCCGCCACCATTGGCAACAGCCGCCCCACGGTTCTCCAGCCTCCGGCGCCACTCCTCGTTATCACCAGGGCGGCACTCCACGACGACGACAAGCGCACCGGCCAGGCGTGCCAGCGCGTCGAGGTGAGCGCGGCGCGACAGCGGGGAGTCGATGACGACAGACAGACCGAGCCGTACCTGGCGCTCAGCCATCCGCCACAGCACGGCGTAGGAAAGCTCGTTGAGCATCCCGGCAGCAGCCAAGCCCTCTAGGGGCAGCGTGCAGTCCCTGACATCGTCCTTGTCCAGGAGCGGGCAGCGAAGCGCGGCCGCGATGGCGCGCGCCGCCGTGGACTTGCCGGACCCCGGGTGGCCTTTCATAGCCACCACCACCACCGGCCGTGGCGGCGCCGGCTGGCCCTGGCCATCGGCCATCGGCACTCCTTCCCTTGGCAACCCCTAACGCATTTCTTGGCTCTCCGCTCCCGCCGCAGGTAATGGCAGAACCTATTTATGGTAACTAGGATGGATGCCCTTTACCGACGATCTAGCCAGGCACACAAACAACAGTGCGATCTTATCCCTGATTTAGCAAGAAGAATCCAAGAATCTAGTGCCTAGTGGCACCAACCTTATGGCCCCAGAAGCATCATTGAATAGAATCGGACAAAAAAAAGTGGAAACACACGAATAAAGTACGGATTGCCAAGGACAGGATAACCTTGTGAGGGGTGACGTGGTGTCCGCACCTGCAGGCTGCAGCGACTTCAACGGCGTAGGTGCGGCCGGCGATGCGACAGTGACGGTGACGGCGACGGCGCGATGGTGGCGGTGGCCGGTGGGGAAGAGGGGGTGGGACTGCGGCTGGCGGGACGGATGTGAAGTCGAGGGCCGAAGTGATGACGAAGTGGAACTGGAAGGCTGGAAGCGGGCGGCTGAGTGGGTGCTTTTGGGCCTTCAACGTCTTATATTAGGGTTAGAAGATGTTGGGCCATATCCTTTAGTGGGCTAGACCACCGTGTCCGTGAGATTTCTTTTATTTTTTAAATTCATTTTTTTAAATATTTGTCTATATAAAAAAATACAAAATTATACTACTGCCGCCGATTGAACCAGAGGGAAGTACTTACCGTCATTTGAATTGGTAGCACTATTCTCTGTCAGCTCATCTTTAAAAAAATTATAACTTTTGTAGATGAACTCGGATGAAGAAAATATATATGAAAGTCGTAAAGCAAAAATTATCTATAAGTTTGTAGTCTATGATATTTTAATCTGAGGTCATTTTGATATCTAAAAAATTGATACAGTGTTGATGGCTTGAAACATTATATCGATTATTTTGGTATCAAGATGGCGTCAAACAAAAATACGTTGAACTATAAGGTTGCATATTTCATTTTAAATATAATTCTTATAAATTTTATTTTTATATGTGATTATATGAAAAATGTCACAACTTTTTCAAGATGGCTACACAAGAGCAAATCCAAGAGACTATATATATCCTTCCTAATTGTTAAGAATAGAGATTTTGGTGAAAATACCCTCCAATAGCTTCTTTATTTGGTTATCTAAATATAGCCATTTTCTATTCTAGATTTCTCGCCAGCCAAAAATAGAAAACGAGAATGGCGAGTTCAAACAAGATATAGAAAAACTGTTGGAGACTAGAAAGATATAGAAATCAATTTTAAACGAATGACTCTCTAAATGATGATTTAAAGAGTAAGGTTTAAAAAAACTCTTGGAGATGCTCTCAGGGTGTGAATAAATTGCCTCAGTTTATCCACTAACTAGTGCATCATATTTTAGAAAACAATCATAATTGTTTCATTTAACCTAAACGTTTATACAAGTATTGTAGATACCTAAGAGATATAAATTTTATAGTTTAGAGTATTTTGTTAAATCCATCTTGATATCCAAATAATCAATTTAATGTGCAGATCTACAATAGATACTAACATTATTATCAATTTTTACGTATGAAAATGACTTCAAAATGAAAAATTCATAGACTATTGTAGATCTCTTTTTTCTATAGCTTTTATGTAGATTTTTATCTTCCGAGTCCATATATAAAAGTTATGACTTTTTAAATGAGTTGATAGCGGAAAAAAAATCTGCCAATTCAACTGCCCGTAAGTACTTCCCGTTGGTACTATCGGCAGCAGTAATATATTTTTGCAATTTTTTTGGTTTGAACAAATATTTTTGCAGAAAATGAATATAAAAATATAAAAATAAAAAATAAAAAATCTTCATGTGAGGGGTGAGATGACCGGTGGATTGAAGTTGAACCGTCTGGATGTGTGAACTGTGAAGGAAGTGGTGAGCGTTTGGGCCTGAGGGATTTGGGCTAGTGTCAAGTGGCAGCGAATTGGGCCAGATGGACTCCATGCCACGGAGAATAAGTCGTTGGCCTGTGAGGACGCTGGTGGCTGGACTCCAGCTTCTCGAGAGTACTCCATCCGTCCCAAAATAAAGTGACTTGCTAGCGTCCGAACGTCCAATCTAGGACGCTAGCACCGGATGGTGCTTCTAAACCTACGCCTGACGTACCCATCCCGCTCCAGAGGCCGAGCGGGCCCACACATGCACCGGAACCACCTCGAACCCGCTTCGTTTCACATGCCCGCATGCACACAGCACCACCACCACCACCACCAGGCGTGTGCGGTGACCCACAACGGCACGATGACCTACGGCGGCGCACTAGCAGCAACAACATGTGCTTCCCTGAGATCTACTTTTGAAACATCTAAATGAAACACTTGCAACATACGTCTGAAACCGATGAAACACTTAAAACATGCAATAGCCATAGCAACATGTGCAACATTAGATCTACTTTTGAAACATCCAGATGCAACACTTGCAACATATAAAAGAAGATAGATGAAACACATGAAAAAAAAACATCTAAAACACTTGAAACCCATAGTAGAACATACATAACATCCAGATAAAACACGTGCGCCATATGTGCGAAATATGTGCAATATCCAGATAAACACACTTGTAGCATACGTCAGAAAAATAGATGAAACATTGGGAATAGACGTTTGCAACATACATGTATAAACCATTGCAACAAACGCAACATCCTGATCTACCTTTGCAAAATTCGGATGAAATACTTGCAACATACCTCTGAAATATATGAAACATGCGCTTTCAGCGCAACATCTCTTTGCTGCTTGAGAGAAATTAAGGTTCGTCGGTGTGTGAAGTTCATCGGTCTAGAGCTCGCTGGTGGCGTGGAGCGACCGGCTAGGGGACGCGATAGCCGTTGAGCGTGGCGACCGAGTGGAGCTACCCTTTGTTTCTTCGAGCCTGGCGATGGCGCTTTGCGTTGTCGGTGGACCAGCCAAGGGACACCGCAGCCTTGGAGCGGACCGAGCAGGGGGTAGCTACGGACCGACCAAGGGGCGCAATGGGGCGGTGGCCGAAGCGGAGCTACCCTTTGTTTCTTTGAGCCCGACGATGGAGCTTCGCGTCGTCGACGGACTGGCCAGGGGACATCGCAGCCTTAGCACGGACCAGCAAGGGGAGTGCGATGGGGCGGCGGCTAGCCATGGGGCACCATGGATTATGGACTCCAGGGAGCGCTGGTGAGGCTAGCGGCCAGCGAACGAACCCATGGTTGCGGCGCTACAGAGCGCGGTCATGGTGGAGTATGATTTTGCGGCGCTGCGATGGAGAGCCTTCTGGAGAGAATGGAGCAGCGGGATAAGATTAGAGGCGAGTAGACAAGGTGAAAGGTCCTTGTTTGGTTTTGGTAATTAAGTGACAACCTTAGGTGGACCAATATGTGTTTGAGTGAGATACACAGGTAATTAGTCCATAAATACATCATGTGTGAGCAACCTATGCCATGGAGGTGAAATGGCTTGGATATGTTGCAAGGCTCACACATGTGATGGAGCTCATTGCATATGAGACATGACATTGAGTCATATGACTAAAGTGGAGAAGATCAAGACAAGACTTGGCTTGACGGATCAATTGTAGGCGTGAAGGGCAAGTTGGAGGCTTTGGAGCGATGAACCGCGTGGGGTGAAGCTAGAGCAAGACTTGGCGCCGATGGACGAAGGCAATGGTGAAGAGCAAGTGAGGTCAAGATCGATGAACCAATAAGGTCACGTGATGATATGAAGTGGGTTATATTATTTGGTGATTGGTTGGTGCATGTGTTGCATCAACGATGGAGGAGATGGAATGGAATGCGCAAGGCAAAGGTATAACCTAGGGTATTTTATTTCACCGGTCATGGGTGTGTAGAGAAGTTGATGACCGAGTTTAGGATAGATGGCCATACTATTAAGAGGAGCAAACTTATTTGCATATCGGTCATCTAGTGCCACTTGAGCGATCTAACCTTGCATACGTGTTAGGATCGAGTGGCGTGGTGAATTGAGTGACTAATCCTTTAGGAAAATGTTTGTGAAAAGCTAACATACGTGCACAAGGTGGTGATCACTTGGTGGTGTTAGCACATTTGGAAAGGTGAAGAAGTTGGTAAAGAAGAGGAGGCGAAACCGGGCTTGGGGTGCTGCCTGGGTGGCACTGCCACCCTTTGTCCGATGCACCGCCACCTCTATGGCGGTGACCGGCTGAGAGGCCAGGAGTAGCGTGTTGCCCTGAGGGCACCGCCACTGGTTGTCTGGTGGCATCACCACCCCAAAGGCGGTGCCCACCTGGACTTTGCCGAGCGCAGCAGGAGTCGAGGTGGTCACTAGAAGTGATGGTGTACACCGCCCGATGCTGTCTAGTGCTACCACCGCTTTTCGACAGAGAGCGAGGGAAGTGGGCTGGTCACTACCATGGTCACCGCCATGGCGACAGCGGTTAACCGCCCTATTTTTCAAGAGAGAAGGGTTTTCGGGGTGTTGGCTGGGATGGCACCGCCACCCCCTGTCCGGTGCCACCATTGGTGGTTCGGTGACCACTGCTAATCAAACTAGCCATTGGATTCGACCATTGGGGGGCACCGCTACCCCATGTCTGGTGACCGCACCATCATGTCTGGTGCCCTCGTAGAAAGTGCAGCTTTGCTCCAATGGCTCTATTTGGCTTGGAGGCTATAAATAGAGGTGGAGCTCGGGCATTTGGCTGGTTGAGCACCCTTGGGACTAAGTGTCCATGCTTGGGGAGTGCTTAGGAGACCTCCAACTCATGCTTGATAGTGATCATCCGATCGAGTGAGTGAGCGATTCTAGTGCGATTGCATCGTGAGGTTGCATCGAGTGGTACTAGGTGATCGAGTTGCAAGCCGGTGGTGCCTGTTACTCTTGGAGGTTGCCACCTCCTAGATGGCTTGGTGGCTTGTGACTCCATTGAAGCACGCGAGAAGATTGTGCGGTGCTCCGTAGGAGGATTTGTGAGGGGGATTGTGCTCACCCCGTGGGGATCATGAAGAGCAACTCTAG